TTCATTAATCTATGTTGCATTTATATGTGAATCTCCATCATATAAATAGCAGTTGATACAACTGGAGGCTAAACCAGTCCTGACCTTGAAGACTAAACTACTAAAGAAATAGTTGTAAATATTTCTAGCTAATTATAGCTTACGACATTCCAAATATTTTTGAAAAGGTGGACATAATAAAAAAAGTAAATACAAGCCATTTTTAGTTCTCCAAGGCTTATTAAAAAATAAAGTGATGAGACCTCTTGTTGTCACATAAAATTGCACTTACTTGGACCATTTGATTGCATCAACAATATATAACTTTTTCATATAAAAATTTGCCTCTAATCTTGCAACTGGGATCATTTTAAGTAAAATTTTTGGTCCACCATTTAAACATTTTACCAAAATGTGTGTGTGTGTGTGTGTGTGTGTGTATGTATGTTTGTGTGTGAGTGATCGGATAATTTTTATGTGTTTTCATCTGATTCCGATGATTTTTTTGTTTAGATTATTCTTCAGTGTCCAAATTGTTGGTGATAATGGCTCCCCACTACTTCCTGTCCATTATAACTCTCAGCAACGTTTTACTATTTACTATCAATTGTTGGATATATATCTTTCATAAAACTTTAATAAAAATAAATACTTTAAATTATTACAATAATATTATTATTATACAGTAAAATTTATATAATTAATTATATTAATTATATGAATTAACGCCTCTTCAACTGTTGCTGCGCATGAGGCTGAAAATGCTGAGCAAAGGACTCAACGGCTGAGGAGGAACGCCTCTTCAACGCGCGTGAGGCTGAAACAAGATTGAGAACGCAAAAACAGCCCTTCTCAGGGCCACTTCCCATCAAAATTTTTACCCCCTCCCACCATTTGGGGATGTGCATGAGTTGCACCAAATTATTGTTACTAATATTGATTTTCAGGTGCGCTGACTTTAAACTTAAACTGGTCCAACTGAACGGCAAAAAGTTCCCAGTAATTAAAGACCCGGTTGACGACGGGTTATACTGCTAGTATATATATATATATATATATATATATATATATATATATATATATATATATATATATATATATATATGAAAATCAATTAGTGTTCGCTATTTTAGCGATGTTTTACATCCCATGTATCTTCGGGTCGTAAGGGATCATACGTTTCTATACAAATTTTGATTCCTTTTATTTTCTTCCAATTCTTTCTTCTATTGTTTTTATTTAACTCTGTGAGTTGCGATCAATTTTGGGAAAAAATAGTGAAATGTTTTCCCGTTGATTTCTCTACAGTTTGAAATTCAGAGCAGTCTCCCTCTCAGACTGGTTGCTATGCAAAGCTATAGAGCCCACTCCATCCTGCTTTTTAACCCATAGCTACAGTGAAATGTTGAAGAGACACATTCGAGCCGTTCCTAAAGGTGAAAATGAAGGCAGAAGACACGGCAGGAATTTGAACTCGGCTCGCCGATTCCACTTTCCGCACTGATAACCGTTAAACTACACACATCCAATATTTGCTATAAACGAGGACGCATGGTGGAGTAATGGATAGCTGCTCGGATTGAGGAATCGGAGAGCCGACATCGAATTCCAGTCGAATCCATCACTTGCTAATACCCTTTGGAAAGGTATGAATCCTCTTTTCCCACCCGCAGGACAGACCGGCTTCTATAGCCTTGTATGGCAACCGGTCTACCGCAGAACGAAACCTACTTCGGGAAAAAATCTGCCTCGTCAGTCAGCACGATACATGAGCGCTTAAGTATGTAGCACGCATGGCACATAACTGATTCGTACAATCATTTTATTTTTCTACCCGGAATTCAGATCTACAAATCAACAATTCACCCTTGCATGGAGTATTGCTGCCATATATGGTCTGGAGCCCCTTCTGTTTGCCTCGGGGTCCTTGATAGGCTCCAGAGGCGGATATGCAATATAATTGGCCCTATTCTGGCATCTCGTCTACAGTCGCTCTCTCACAGACGCGCCGTCGCCTCTCTCTGTCTTTTCTACAAATACTTTCATGGCAATTGCTCCGATAAGCTGCATTCGCTGGTTCCCAGACTTCATGAATTCAAGCGCCCTACGAGGCTGGCATCCCGCTCTCACCCTTTCACTGTTGAAACGTAGCCGTCTCTTCTACTCCAATAGCTTCATATCTAGCAACTCTCACCTGCGGAACTCCCTTCCCTATTCCTGTTTCCGTCGGAGCTATAATCTCCAACTATTCAAATGTAATGTCAATCGACATCTCCAGTTGCCTTGATATATCCCCTATCCTTCTCCTCATCCTTTCCTCTATCACTCCTATCTGATCTTGCTCCAAATCTTCTGTAACCCCTTGCGTTCTAGTGGCTTCCCGCCTTGCTTGGGGTGAAACGCTTAAAAAAAAACTAAAAAACTTTAATAGCAAAACTATGTTTACTTTTTATACCTATTATAATTAGTATGTCATTTTGAATTTTTATTTTAAGTATTAATCCCTTTGCAGACGATTACACACACCTATCATAAATAACAAGATATCAGTAAATTATCATGGGTACAAAGATTGATGTAAAGTAAAGGTATTGCTCGTGCTAAAGGAAAGAGCGTCCGGGGTCTGGAGTTGCTAAATCTTCAGATATATTTGCTGCAGAGAAATACAGAGATAAAGAGTCACTATAAGGAAGTTTGTTACTGGACCGGCAAGGACAGTTCCGTTTTTTTTTGTTTTGTTTTTTTTTTGTTCTTTGAAGCCAATTGGGTTTAAGATCAAGAGGTGAATATGAGACAAGAGTTCAGAATTCAGAATCTGTCTTCTGAGATGAGGTATTATGTACACTATTTACATTATTCGGACTATTGTCCTCATCTTTGTCGCCATATTTAATACAACGTTTCGACCGTTGTACGCCCCGGCCTTCTTCAGGTGCTTGGAATGTCGAACTGAACCCTTTATTTCACTCACTGGGGTAGAATGTTCTAGTTCCACGTGCCATGTCTAATGGATGATAGTTATAGGTTATCTCCTGCTTAATTCCCTCTACAAGTTCTCCACCGCTTTAAACAGGTATTGTCCTCGAGGACACATGGCACAGTGGATAAAGGTGTTAGTTAGATCCAATGACAGGACCCAAATCATTCTGTAGAACAACATTCCTGTTGCGTCACATATTCTTTCGTAAATATTTGAATATTTAGCGTCCAGACACGATCTTTCAATTCTATGAGTTACGTCTTCAGGATTGACATAGACTTCTTGGTGGTTGACGATACCATTGATGTAATATTGAGTAAGATTCGAATATTCCGGCCATTCATTTGACAGATCGTGTTTTCACACATCTCAGTAGAATTGGGCATGCAGATCAGGTTCCTCATTGTAAATGACACGCTGAAAAACAACAATGCATAGAGATCCCATACTGAAGTCGGAACCATTTTTTTCTATTTTATTCCCCCAACCTCCAAAAAATCAGAAAGAACATTCAAGACATTATATAACAAGAAATTTAAGAACTCAATAATGTTTCTATATTTAAAACCAGTTGTTTGAAAATTCCACGGTACTAATGCTGCGACAGTTCCTCGCTGTACTAAGAAAAGGGGTTCTGTAATCGGGTTTTCTTGACTCAGGTGGTGGAATTTTTTAGTATGATTTTCTTTCTTATTATCTACTTTATCTCTACCCGCCTCCGCCGCAGCTATTTAATGAGGATGGGAAGTGGATTCGTTAAGTGACTAATTGATTTATTTTCTACAGCTTATTAAGCCTTGAATGGTTATTTAAAGCCAGGAAATCTCTGGCTTCTCTTCCGCTATTTCCCGATAGTCTTATTCATTAGCCAATCATCGCTTGTAAGTATCACGGAGCTAAATTTAGCTTGGATAATTGGTTATCTATGTTAGCATACACATAAGCAAATATTAAATACACATTGTCACATGTTTATGCTAAATCTGTGGCAGGGGGGTAGTGGTGGTATCCGCGGTGGTGATGGCGAGGGTATATAGTATTTTGGGGAATGGTAATATCAATGTTGTTGCTGCTACGGGTTGGAAGTGGGTTCATTTTTATTACTAATATTTTTCTTGTTCACTTCAACGACGTGAATCATTAGAGTATATCAACATTGGAAAGGCATTTTGGGTAATGGCGCAAAGAGATGGCTTGTGGGTGAAGAAGAAGAAGGATAATAATAATAATAATAATAATAATAATAATAATAATTGGCGCACTAGGCACTGTGTCAAAAATATTACAGAGAAGATTTAAAGAACTGGAAAAGCGAAAAATTGATTGATTTATTGATTGATTCGTTTTCTATGGTTTATCAACCCTTTGCAGCTTATTTAAAGCCAGAAAATATTTTTACATTGTAAGGATTGGAGGGGGAGATAATAATGGTTTAGTTATACAAGTTTTACTAATTAACCCATAGCTGGTGGGAGAAAAGGTGAATTCCTACGTTTCTTAGCGATACTTGCACATCAGTGAGTATAACAAACCCAATAGGAATTGAAACACGGCTCTCGGATTAACAATTCCGAGCCATTATCCATTACACCATCCGCACATTCAAGATTACAGCACTTGGTATTCCTAATCGGTCGCACATCTAGATACTGACGAGGCTCGACTTCGTTTAGCCTCGATGATCGTACGAGAACTGGGGTTTCAATGTAATATTGTCGTAAGCCGGAGTGATTTTTCCCAAGAGCATTAGTGTAAAATGAACGCAACTATCTTAGTTTGAACTCGGGTTGCCAAGTCTTTTCTCCATAACGTTTTAAGCCACCTTGCATCTCCTTCACAAAAAATTAAATAATATTAATAATGTTATGTTTTAAAACATGACACATGACCACAAAGGTCACACATTGCCACAGAATTCATTATTTGCTAACATACACTTGTGGGTCTGTTTCAAGTGGAAAAAGCCTTTTTGTTTATTACCCTCCTGTTTGCTGTTTAAGTCCACGTATGGGCAAGAATTTCGAGCACCGGTTTTCTTGGTATGGAGACAGGTGTTCCCAGTTTGATATCACAGTCTTTCACACATTCGCTCTGTCGCCAATTTGGCTTTTCTTTGGATCAATCATATGTTCCTACCGGGGATTCCAGTATCCTTACTATTATCAAGGTAGTTTCACAAAGCATTAGTGTTGTGAGTTCAATCCTAACTAGGTGTTTTGATCATGTGCCAGACTTAACTAATGCCTACATTCACTCAACACGAAGGAGACATTATAATATAGGAACTACCCTAGTGTCTTGAGATCGATCCTTACTGTATGCCCTGTTGTTGCCGTCTAAATCAGTTTTTCTTCCTTCTTTTTACATTTTTTTTTTAAGCATTTCACCCCAAGCAAGGCGGGAAGCCACTAGGACGCAAGGGGTTACAGAAAATTTAGAGAAAGATCAGATAGGAGTGATAGAAGAAAGGATGAGGGTAGTGGATAGATCAAGGCAACTGAAGATGTCGATTGACATTACACTTGAATAGCTGGAGATTATAGCTCTCAGGGAAACAGAAATAGAGAAGGGAGAGACATGAAGATATTAGAATAGAAGAGACGGCTACATTTAGGAGTTTCGACAGTGAAAGGGTGAGAGCGGGATGCCAGCCTCGTGAGGCGCTGGAACTCGTGACGTCTGGGAACCAGCGAATGCAGCTCCTCGGAGCAATGTCCATGAAAGTATTTGTAGAACAGACAGAGGGAGGCGACGGCGCGTCTGTGAGAAAGTGACTGTAGACGAGACGCCAGGGCAGGGCCAACCACATTGCATATCCGCCTCTGGAGCCTATTTGAAAAGTGTAGTGGTCAGTTGAGATGTAATGGATTTGTCATGTCCAAGAGATGAAAATGAAGTTCTTCTATCAGCCATGATTTGCCAAGGAAATTAATTAAAAAATAAATGAATAAATAAATGAACATCTTGGTCAAAATTAGTTTCAGAGAATAAATTACAGAGGTATGGGTCGACAGTCGATGTGGTTCTTTTTGTGTTAGTATTTAAGTATATGTGTTTAGCTGTGTGTGTGTGTGTGTGTGTGTGTGTGTGTGTGTGTGTGTGTGTGTGTGTGTGTGTGTGTGTGTGTGTGTCACTGCGTTTGGGTATATATGTGAAAAATAACCAGAAAGGATAAAATATTGCTATGCAAGTAAAGAAAGAAAGAAAGAAAGAAAGAAAGATGAACTGGGATGGAGTGCAAGAAAGTGAAATAAATAAATAAATAAGTGACTAACTAAAGAAAAGAAAGAAAGAAAGAAAGAAAGAAAGAAAGATTTCATGATCAGACCATATGAAATAATTGTTGTTTTTTTTTTGTTTTTTTCTTCAAATCAGAAAATTGCGAAATTCGACAATTCGAAATATTTGATTTTCGCTTAAAAATATCCAAACGCTTTTCCAAGAAATAAAGAAGGGTATGGGCGGGAATTGGAATGAAGAAGAAAATGCTAGCAAAGTGTGGAAACAATCCGTTGAATAAAGAATCATCACAGAATTTAAAAAGAAAATAAACAAAAAATTCTTGGCATTAAAAAAAAACTTTTTTTTAAAGCAGCAAAGAATTCGTAAATGCGAATTGAATGTTGCGACGGCAACATCTTCCAAATTACAGACGAACTTAGGTTGGCTGACGCCACACATTCTACGTTTTGGCTATTTTCGTTAATAAGATCGTTGTACAACAGTGAATCCATAAAGAGAATGAATTAAAACGTGTCTTCTTTTCGGTTTCGTTTTATTTTTTATTTTTTTCTTTTCCATTTTCCGTTTCAGTTTTTATTAATGATTTTTTTCACTCCCGTTTTCAAGTTTTTCTTTCTTAGTTTTTTTAAAAGATTTTTTTCTTTATTCCATTATTTATTCTATTTGCTTGCGATTATTGTTCGTTTATTTAGTCATTTATTTCCTTTCCTGTTTCAGTTCCTCAATTTGAATTTTGTCTTTCTTTTCCGACATACTTTCCTTTCGATATCGTTTATATTCTTTGCTTTTTTTCTCTTCAATCTTATCTATCTATCTATCTATCTATCTATCTATCTATCTATCTATCTATCTATCTATATATATATATATATTATTGCTGTAAATATATATATATATATATTACTACAGTAAATATATATATATATATATATATATATATATATATATATATGTGTGTGTGTGTGTATGTGTGTGTGTGTGTGTCTGTGTGTCTGTGTGTGTGTTTGCGTTTGGTTCTATCACCTTATTCTGTTCTTATCTACCATTGTTTTTTGGGGTTTTTTTTGTTTTTATCGTAATGTGTTTCATTTTCTTTCTTTTTTGATCCTTGCATCTTTTCTTAGACATACTTTCTTGATTCTCTCCAGGTATTCATTGGTCTTTTCTTTCTTTCTTTTTTACACTCTTTCTTTCTTTTTTACACTCTTTCTTTCTTTAGGCTTCCATTTATTTATTTCCTTCATTAGACTTGTATCGCTTTCCTTCTTTGACATTTTCTTTCTTTCTTTTTTTTTTTTTTTTTTTTTGGTCGGGAGAGAGCTTTTTTTTTCTATGGCTTTTCTTTCTTTCTTTCTTTCTTTCTTACTTTCTTTCTTTCTTACAGACTTTATTTCTTTTTGTCTTTCTTTCTTTTTCTTTCTTTCTTTATCTTTCTTTCTTTCGTTCATTTTCTTTCTTTCTTTCTTTCTTTCTTTATTACATTATTTATTTGGGCTTTTATTTATGTATTTCCTTCCTTAGACTTTTATTTATTTATTTATTTAGCCTTTTCTTTTTTTCTTTCTTTATTACGCTCTTTCTTTCTTTATTTATTTATTTATTACGCTCTTTTTTCTTTATTTGTACTTTTATTTATTTATTTGCTTCCTTAGACTTCTATTTCTTTCTTTCCTTTTTTTTTTCTTTGGCCTTTTCTTTTTTTTTTTTCTTTCTTTTATTCATTTTTTCTTACATTCTTTCTTTGCCCTTCTATTTATTTATTTCTTTTGTTAGCTTTCTATTTCTTTCTTTTTCATTTTCTTTCTTTCTTTCTTTCTTTCTTTCTTTCTTTCTTTCTTTCTTTCTTTCTTTCTTTCTCTTACCAGGTTTGTTTCTGCTTTATTTTCTCTGTTTTGCTGAATTCTTTGCACTTTTACTTTTTATCTCTCTTTTTTCTTCGGTGTACATCTTTTCTTTTTCTTTCTTTGCTGTTTTTTTCTTTCTTGTTATTCTTTTTATCTTTCTTTGTCTTTCTTTCTCTTTTTCTTTCTTTCTCATTAACACATTTCTTTATTATTTTTATTTATTTGTTTCTGTTTATTTAATTCTTTTTCATTTTATTTCTAATTTTTATTTCATTTTACTTCTTTTTTTTTTCCTAAGGAGACAACTGAGAAAAGATGCGAAAAATTCTTTTATGAACTTCCTGCCCTCACTACTTTTTTTTTTACTTTTTTAAAACTTAAGCGAAAATCATTTTTGCATTTAGCTTCGATAATGATGTGTTAAGGAAAACCAACAAGAAATGAAACTTCGGGGAAAAAAATGATCAAAATCTTTGAATTATTGAAGGAGACATAAAGACATATAAAGAAAGGCAATGGCAAATAAAAGAAAGAAAACTGAATGAAATAAGAGAAGAGAAAAAGGAAAGAAAAAGAAAGAATATGAGGTAAAAGGGACCAAAGAATAAAGATAGATATAAAAGTGAAAATATAATGAAAGGAAAAGACGAAAAGAAGAAAAATAAGATTAAAAATCAGAGAGAAAAGGAAAAAGAGAAACAAGTGAAAATGAACGGGGAAAAGGAAGAGGTATAAAAGAAAGAGAGAAAAGAAAATAACAGAAAAAGAAAACGAATAAGTAATTTGAAAGAGTGAAAAAATGAAAATAAAATTTTCTCTTGGCCTCTTTTTCTTTCGCGTAAAGACAAAAAATGGAAAGAAAAAAAACTTACGCCTCGACGTTGTACAATGGTTATCAGGTTTGTCTCACAGATCTGATTCTCACACAACTTCATACGTGTTGCCTTGTTTCGTACGAATCTAAGCGACGTATGAACCCACATGGCAAAGAGAGATACGTATTTTCTAGTGGTATATATAAGCTTTCGAGCCTAGATAAAAACCAGGATTTGGAATGCTGATTTACGAAGTAGTTACAAAGAACACTGATGCGATAGTTTATTTCATTCCTATTAAATCTTTCTACGGTAGACAGATTCAGCATGAAGAAAGAAAGAAAGAATAAATGAAAGAAAGAAAGAAAGAAAGAAAGAAAGAAAGAAAGAAAGAAAGAAAGAAAGAAAGGGATGAAGAAAGAAAAAGTAAAATTTTGAGAAGTCAAAACAAAAAAGAAACGAAAAAAGAGGAAAATTCTTTAGAAAGAATCGTTTGCTTTAAAACCATTTTTGCCTTTTCTTTTTATAGGTAACTAAATAGAGAAGCGTTTTAACTATCGAAAGAAAGAAAAGATAGCGGCGAGGTGTTGGCTCAGAAAATTGGGCAAAGCTGTAAGCAAGCGAAATAAAAAGAAAATGAAAAGAATGTTGAATGAAAACAATTTGTAAAAGAAATAAAAATAGACACAGAATAGAAAAATTGAATTGGGAAGGAAAAAAAGATGAATAGGAGTGATAATTTCGTTCCGAAAATCGAATAGGAATAAAATGGCGGACAACATCAAAGAGGTCTAGGTTAATTGTGATTCTCTGATTGACGCGATCTGCAGACACACATTGTCTACATCCACACACACAGATACATGTACACATATATATTCACACACTTGCATGCATCTTCGTGTGAATATATGTGTGCGTGCGTGTGCATCCCACAATCTATAAGAATATGCGTCAACATACACATACGCTCACAAAAATGAACCACCGCTCCATTACATATTTACTACTATTCTCCAGACTTATATATGCAAATATATGTATAGAACTATTTAAAAGGTTCATCCAGTCTGTGTAATTTAATGATGTTGTAGGCATTTAGTTTTAGATAATAAACAAATCATCCAAAAATACTGATTTTCATTCTGTGGTGACTGCTTTCATATTAGCAAGAATTTTAAATATACTACAATGTTTTTTGCAGTACGCTGAAGCGTGTTCAGATTCTCACATTATTTAGTTTTGTTGAAGTTTTCGCTAACATTTTTGTCGGGATTTACAAACTCTACGTTTCGTTCAATTTCGTAAACCAATTGATGAAATTTGAATAAGCTGATTTGTTTGGAAAATACTTTAACAAAAATCCTACTTCGCGGTTTAATTCATGATTGGGTGTAGTCGTAGAATCTCTATGAACATGACTTCCTGACCAGCACTTTCCACATGTCTCGGGTGCATGCCAATATCTGGGTTGAACATCAGAAACGTATTCATTCATAGGTAGCGTGTCTTGGGCAAGTTGACCTAATGCAGTCTATTTCTATCCGAGTCAAACCTCAGCGGATGTCCTCTAACTTCAAGTTTCGTCTTGGCCAAGGACATGTTGCCGTTAATTTCATCGGGGGAATCCTCCACACTGGACTCGCTTCAGTCTCAGAAATCGTCGCCCAGCAATGCCGTGTCAGTCCTATGGGTCACGTTTAAGCTCTCGCCGTTGTAATTACCGTATCTCAGTTGAACTCCCTACAGCCGAGAGCCTCGAAATAACTACACATGGGATACAGGTCCTATTTCCGTAATCGGTTTAGATAGTGTTCATACCAATTTCTTTCTGTTTCCTGCAGATTTTCCAGTGCAGATATTGGTCCACTCTGTCAAGCCATGTTTTATATTCAGTGGGTGCTAACGCTGTAAAAACTGATACAAAATGGTTTCTGGATATTTATCACAGAATCGGCATTCCGGGCTCACAGAATGTTTCAGTGTGTGTGCTTGTTAATTTCTAGTCAGGAAGCGATGGTCCTGTGCAGCGAAATTTATACATTCGGTTTAACCCTGCACTAAGTAGCTACTCATGGGTACGAGGTCTGTCTGTATCACCTTGTTTGGTACGGGCAGAGTATTGATGGTGAAGCGGTTTATCTTGCCATAATTTCTGTATCTGACCAGTTTCAATTGCCTTTCCTTTCTTTTTTAAATATTTTTCAGCTTCAGTAGGTGTATTGTGTTTTACTTGCATTTCTTCACCCACTTGAAACTCCATTTTGAACTTGTTGGCTTCCTTTATTACTTACTCTTACCATTTTCATGTTCTTTGACACATCATCCAGTCTTCTGCCTTTGAAGGCCAATTGTTGTAATTTTATAAGAAGGTTCTAGTTGAACTAATTCTCTGCCTCCTTCGTGTCTGGGCACATACAGACGATCAACATCAACTTTGGAATAATACATGCGGTAGCAAGTGAGAAGCTTTCCCAATTTGGCGTCCATTCGTTTAATGTCCAGTTAAGTATGTTAAAACTGTATTGCACCACAGGGACAACCAAGGTGTTTATGGCTGACATTTTTTTTTTAATTCAGTTCTGTATTTAGTACCAGACGCGCACGCCTGCAGTATTCATTTCTTACTTTCTCCTTCATTTGGGTATGTTGTATACCATCTCCTTCGCCAACTTCTGGGTATACATCTTGTCCCAGTTCTCTAATGTTTGTGACAAAAATCTAAATCTGTTGAGTGTGTTTCTGTAATTCTCCCTTTCTGTAATGTTAATTTTGCAGATTTATCTAATCTGAAATCTATACCTATGAAGTCACTGAAATATTTTACAGTATTGAGGAGACTCTTCAACTCATTGTCGTCTTTGGGAAAGAGTTTGAGATCATCCATGTAGAGTAACTGGTTGGGTATTTTCTTGTTTAGTTTGTAGCTATAGCTATTGTTGTTTAGTTAATGTGAAAGGGGGATTAAGGACAGAGAAAACAGAAGAGGAGACAGGGAGTCTCCTTGAAAGATTCCTCGTCGGATATTCAGGCTGTTGGAGAAGGTGTGATTTAAGTATTATGTGGTGTTCCACATTCCCATGCTATCACAGGGGAAACTTTGTACATTTAAGGGTCCAATAGTGTGGCACATTATCAAATGCTTTACGGTAATCCGTCTACGCTGCGCTAAGATTCTACATCGTCTCCTGCAATTTTCCAGGATCATTTTGTTAATCAGTAATTGATCTTTTCAAACATATGAACCTCTCTTCCATCCATTCTGTTCCATGATGATGACGATAATAATAATAAAATCAATAATAATAATAATTGTAATCCTGCATAAAAATGTCCCTTATGACATTAGTACCTCCAAGCATTAAACAATTTAAATACAATGTCAATCGTTACCTCCTGTCTTTTTAATTATTGTTATTTTCTTGTTCTCTTTCCTTAATAATGTTTTTCTTTTCTCATATTCTCTAACGGTCAGTAGCCTATTGCGTCTTCTTGGGTTTATTGCCTTGATTGGAGTGAAATGATTAAAAATATATATTTTTAAAATAGCTCAGCTTTCTTATATATTTTCAATCTTTTTCTTTGTGATCTTGATATATTATTTTGTTGATTTTTTTTTTTATTTTCTAGATAAATTATTTAAAGAAAGCTTAAAAAGACAGAATACGTGTTCGTCTGCAAGAGAGACAACCAAAGATATGAACTTCGAATTGGAGACAGCATAAACAAGCAGATACCTAAATTTAACTATCTAGGTCGTCTAATATCAGCCGATGGAAATTGTGACACAGAAATCCGAAGAGTGATCGGAAGAGGCCTTTAAGAAACTAAGCTAAGTGTTAAGGCATAGGAATCTTTCCTCAGAAACAAAGGCATGAGAAGTGAACTGCTATGTCATATCTATCCTCCTATATAGCGGTGAGTGATGGCAATTTCCTTTCAGATAAAGAAGAGGCTCGAAGCGACAGAGATATGCTTATACAGACAAATAACATGGAAAGATCACGTGATGAACGAGTAAATTCTAAATAAAAAAAGAGATTTGAAATTTCTGGAACACGTGATAAGGAAGGACGACTTGGAAAACTTAATACTCACAGAACGCCTTAAATGAAGGAGAGATAGAGGAAATAGCGAACAATTACCTAATGAGTGTGTGTAATGGACGGCGGAGCAGGAAGAAAGAAAAATGGTAGAGAGTCAAACGTTACGTAGAGCAAATTGGGAAAGAAACTTGATGGGACCAGGCACAAAAATGATGATAAAAGATCTCAAACATGATTATATAATGCCGCATAGCAAAAGAAAAAAGTCTTAACCCGCCCAACGGTGGGCATAGGTGCTGGTTGTTCAAAATGGTACGTTGAAAATATAGTTTGTCTTTTACTCAATTATTAAACGAGTCAATCTTTTGGGGTATACATATGTGTGGCTGTAGTTGTGGGAATCCAATGAACTCAATATGCTATCGAAAGGAACTCCTAGATGTTCGTGAAAGGAAAACAAATATAAAGACATAATAAAATACTAGCTGGACACCTCGTAATGGTTAACAAGCATGCTCCGCGAGATCAATTACATTTGAGTAGTGAGCTCGTTTCTAAATGAGTGCTTTAAACTTTTGGCCTTGTGCCACATTTAAGCTATGCTTAGAACATCATTTGGACACTTTGACGTGGGATAATGGTTAGCATGCTTATCTTGCTAGAGCAATTACGACTGAAAAGTGAGTTCAATCCTCACTGGATGTCCCATACTTTCGGGCCTTTGCCTCATCTAAACTACAATTAGAAAATCGCCAACGAACGGCAACGAACCCCACCACACACACATATATATATTATGCCAGAGATCGTATTTTCTTTATTAAATTATCTTGGGTGCGCAGACTGATAGACGTAATAAATACTGTTTAAAATACGGGACATCTATTTCAAGCACGTTTAAAGTTTATATATATATATATATATATATATATATATATATATATATATATATATATGTGTGTGTGTGTGTGTGCCTTTAAACAGATTTTTCTCTGACTCTCGAAATAGACATATCTGCTCAGTTTCCTATCTTAATGTAACCAAAGCAATTTCTAAAGAAAGGGATGGAATTTTTATTGAGCAGATATGTCTGTTTCAAGAGTTTTGAAAGAAATCTGTTTTTAAACGTTCTATTCACCATTGGTTGGTCATCAGTGCTCTGTAGCATGTCATATATACATATATATATATATATATATATATATATATATATACAGAGAGAGATAGATAGATAGTGTTTTTTTTATTGATGCATATTTAAACTTTGATTGAAGAGTTATACATAGTACATATTTAAGTATATGGCGTTTCCTTCCCTTATTAAATTGGGGTCTTTTACCTTTCCACTCCAAGAAGGCTCTTTACGGCTTCTCTTTGGCCAAATCAAATTGCGAGATTCCTTGAAACCGTTAATAAATAAAACTTAAGAATTGAGTTTTTCTGGGACTGATCATGAGCAACTGAAAGCGAAACCGCGGATAACGAGGAACGATTACAATTTAATTAGCGTTGGGCTTCTCAATTGTAGCTCATAAAAAAGTTACTTCATTTAAAAAGAAAAAAAGTGAGTTCGACTGCATTGGATTCAATAGGCACTTCACCAAATCCTTCAGCTTAGCTATGGAAACAGACAGCTACAAGGACAAACAGTAGAGTGCTTCATGCCATTGAAGTGTTTGTTATTTTTTTTTTTTTTTACTGGTATTCAGATTTTATATCACCCTAAATATTTTAGCCTTTTATAGGCGCTACAGTTTTTAAAAAAATGTCTAAAGTATAACAAAGAAAGAATAATGATATTTCTAAAACCAATAATAAAGGGTTCCTATTCCCGTAATTGAACGATATAATCGATTTTTATTCAATCGATTCAATTAATTGAATTTTGACTTCATGGCTCAGTTAGTTGCATGATAATTCTGCTTTTATTATTTGTTTTGCTTTGGTCTCTGGATTTTCAACCCAAATCGAAAGTTATTTCGTTCATTCCTACGTGCGCAGCCCAATGTTAAAGCCAGGGACAAGAGGCTATCCAGATTCAATGTTTTACTACTTCCATTTCGAACTGATTTCGAGACAGAGATGAAAGGTTTATTTCTAAACCTTTAAATAATTCATAGCTTCGTACTACAGAAAATCAAACTCCAATAGAAATATGGTGTAGCGCCAATCTTCTAAATTGCCAAACTAGCTTCAAAATTGGTTTTGAAATCTCGGCTTCTTTTGTAATTTAGAATTCTGACCCTTGTGCACAAACGTGACGTCAGGGTTGTTAAACTCCATGCCTTAGTCAGTCAAGATGTTCGTGTTTCAGATTCTCTTGACGTGTTCATCATCATCACCATTACTATTATTATTATTATTATTATTATTATTATTATTATTTCCTTGGATTTCTGTTGTACACATATTTCCTTCTGGGTCCCAACCTGATACCTAAGTTCAAAAATAGCTTCATGACATTTTTCACTGGTCATTTTTTGTAAAATATCACACACATTTTATATAAAGTTCTTCGTAATGCGTGAGCTGTACTTGTGAGTACAATTGTTTGTATTTTTTAGTGTATGGGCTACCAGGAATCCCTTCAATGAATCTATCGGAACCTTTTCCATTCAATCCGTGGGCTCACAGCTGGAATTATTGATGTCTTCAAGTGCAATATTTTTTACATTTACACTTCAAGATCCTTGTATGTTTAAAAATTTTACAAGATACATTACAATCTGCAGTGATTGCCATGTCAATGAGAAAGTACATTCTGTTTTTGTGGTCTTTGATCACGACTTCTGTGCGATTAGCTTTGAAGGTTCTGTCTTTGTGTATTGTAAAGTCCCATAAAAATTGTGACAGGTCCTATCTCTATAACTGGGTCTGGGTGATGTTCTTTCATTTTCCATCCCGTAAACGTTGCATATTTTCCAATGCACTAACCTACTCTATCATGCCGAGTTTAATATTCAGTGAAAATTGATACAAGATGGTCAATTGTTTCTGGATATTTATCACAGAATCTGCATTTCGTATGCAGTATGTGTGCTTGTTAATTCCTAGTCGTTTACAGCAAGAATTATATATTCGGTTTCAGCTTTTAACCCTGCATTTCGTAACCACTGCTGGATATAGGGTTTGTCTGCATCAACTTTTTTGGTACGAGCAGTGTATTGATCATAAAAATGCTTATCTCGCCATTGTTTTTCATTTGGTACATTGCATTTGTTTTCTTTTTTAGCTTCTTTGTCTCTGCAGTAGGTGCATTATTTGCATTTATTCGCCCACTTAAAATTCCCTTTTGAATTTACTATTCTTCTTCTTCTTCTTGTTATTTCATTTTTTTCTTCTTCAGCATGTTTCTAAGACTTCAGCACAGCTGTAGTCTCGGTAAGCTAAATTTTCTTCAAATGTCAATATATATCTGACTCGATATTTTACACGGTTTCAAGCGCTCAATTATAGACACGACTCTTATCCACGGTTAGCTTGGAACCCGATTGATGTCCCCTTTTCCGCCTATTCCTCCTCTTCTTCCACCTCCTCCTCCTCCTCCTCCTCCTCCTCCTCCTCTTCTTCTTCTTCTTCTTCTTCTTCTTCTTCTTCTTATTATTATTATTATTATTATTATTATTATTATTATTATTAACAGTTCGATCTCTTTATACCAGCACTCTGTGATCCAGCAACCCCGATTGCCAGCTACGTTTTTAATCAACGGCCATTAGTTCGTTGAGCGGCTACGAGGACAGTACCAAATGTTGTTTACAACTTTCCACAACAGCTGACAGTAGCAGAGTGTTTTTGTGATACGGTCTTGCTCATTTCTTACATATAGCTGCATATTTATCCATTCAGGATGCCACCAAAGATAACATCAGATGCAGAGGATGCTGCCAGTAGTAAGAAGCGTAAGCCTAAATCTTTATCTATGCTTGAAAAGGTAGAGGTACTCCATGAAAAAAAACTAGTTTGGATGCATTAATGATTGTTTTATTTCCCGTTTTAAGCTTTCTTCTGGCTTTGATAACACATCACTATATATGTGGAATGAGCAGACAAGACTATATTTACAGAAGGTTTCTAGAGATTATTTCTCTCATCCAGTATTTTCTGTGGTCCAGTAATAACCTGGTCCCTGGTGTGCCGGATTAAGTATTATTAGATTCACTTGAGGGAGGGTTAGGGCGTTATTTATTGGCCATAATTTCCAGAATTCTTAACATCCATGCCACTTTTACTAGTCGTTTTAACAAATCTCTATTCTTTTTCGTATTTCCTTACGGCCATATCAGTTTGAAACACCAGTTCCTGTACGATCAGCGAAGTTATGCAACGTCGAGTTTAGTACCTAGATGGGTGACCGCTTGGGAATACCAGGGGCTGTAAGCTTGGATGTGTGGGTGGTGTAATGGATAATGACACGGAATTTTTGATCGAAGACCCGAGTTCTAATTTCCGTTGGGTTCATTATATTCACTTAAACGCAAATACCCTTGGGGAAAGTATCAATCCATCTCTTTTCCCCCCAGCTATAGGTTAATTGATAAGACTTCTATCACTAAATCATTATTATGTAAAAAAATCTTACAATCTAAAACAATTTTCTAGCTTTAAATAACCTGCAAACGGTTTATAAACCGTAGAAGTAGAATAAATCAATCATTGTTTCGCATTTCCAGTTCTTTAAATCTTCTCTGTAATGTTTTTGACACAGCCTAGTGCGCCAATTATTATGCACCCTACTTTTGCTTTTAGGTTCTTGATATGTTTTACTTTATTTTCAAACAAATCTTATCCAGTGTTCTCTTTTTTTATCCCACTTCATCTTCTTTTCCTTCTTTCCCTTCCTTCCTTCCTTCCTTTCTTCTTCTTCTTCTTCTTCTTCTTATTATTATTATTATTATTATTATTATTCACCCACAAGCAATCTCTCCGCGCCATTACCCACAATGTCTTTCCAATGTTGATACACTGTAATGATTCACGTCGTTGAAGTGAATAAGAAAAATATTAATAATAAAAACCTGCCCACTTCCAACCCGCAGCAGCAACAACAACATTGATATTACCATTTCCAAGATCACTATAACCCCCCACTCGCCGAGGCCACCTCGGATACCACCACTACCATCGCCTCCCACAGAGTTAGCATAAACATGTGACAATGTGTAATATTTGCTTATGTGTACGCTCGCCTGAATAACCAATCATCAAAGCAGAGTTTAACTAAGCGACGCTTACGAGCGATGATTGGCTCATGAATAGGTTGGCGGGAAATAGCGGAAGAGAAGCCAGATATTCGAAGGGTCGCTGATTTGTTCACTTGAAGAGATAGGTAAACGCCTATAGGAGAAGAGGCTGGGAGGTTTTGAAAAGAAGAAGGGAAAGAAAAAGAAACAAAAAAAAGGAAGGAAGGAAAATAACAACAAAAAACTTAGTCATAAGTAAGGAAAAGGAAAACATTGATGAACGAAGGATTCTAGTTTTTCTATATCAGCATAATATACATTTTGGTGAACTTCTACCACGCGACTTGCTAATCTTGCAGAATATTCTAGTCTAATGAGTTTATTCCTGAATAGTTGCTCTCCCAAAGTCTCATTTATTTTACCCTCCTACTAACCTCTTGCGTCTTAGTGTTATTATGACCTTACTTGGGGTGAAATGATTAAAAAAAGTACATATAGAAAAAAAGGTTACAATTAAAATTTTTGCTGAAAAAATGTGTATTACCAATTAGTCAATTTAGTAATTACATTGTACATCTACTGCATACATTACTGACAGTAGATACCAAATGTAAATATAGGGTGTCATAATTGATATTTTTGTTTTAATAATTGATTGATAGTTTTAAATAATTTACTGAACAATTTATACATTAACATATATTTCAAAGACACAATAAAATATTGCATGCAGACCACTATATTGAAGGTCATTTTTTGTGTTCACTCGATGATTGTACAAATCTGCAGATAAGTGCTTTAGGATTCAATTCATCTAACAACCCCTTTTCAATGGTTTGCAACATGGATGATTCCAAATTCTACCCAGAGATTAAAAATTTCTAAAACTTGTCTTTATGATCTTTACGTTTGAAAATGTCCTCTCACATTGGACTTGAGTAACTGATAGTGTGCAGACGTCTTTATAAAGTTATTATTCTTTTTCATTTCTAAAACAGTTGTTTGATTTTTATTGCATTTTTATTTGATATGGGGTGCACTAGCCTGGTCAGACCGCCACTAGTCGAAGACGTCTTATTGTATTCCTAGACTCATGTATAAACATGACCAATGTTTATGTATAAATTTAAGTATAATAAAAAATTAAATAACCCAGCAAACTCAACCCAACACACCCCAGTTCCTCAATAGGTGTCCGATATTATGGCCTTGTGCCAGACTAAGCTTAAAGAGAAATTTATTCAGAGTGGCCCGAATTCACAAAGTTTTGCTAGTCTATCACACTATGATAAATGTTAATTGATAGATTCATAGACAAAACAGAATGTGATAGATAGATAGATAGATAGATAGATAGATAGATAGATAGATAGATAGATAGATAGATATGAACAGCCAATGACAGATAGATACTCAGCTGACTTCCATGTCCCCCACTCTGGTTCACCAGATTTAAACCCTATTGAATATATATTAAACACAAACCTCACTACAATCATTGAGTGGCCATCGTTATTAGCTCAATAAAAGAGTTACTTTTAATTAGGTAGCAGTGACTAAATTGAGACATTTTTATATATATATTTTCACGTCGTCTGCCTTTTTCAAGCGGATTTGAACAGCTATATTCGTAACCATACTAAGGCCGAATTTCTTGGATTTATCCTCCCCAATTTGTTATAAAATTTGTAGAAATCAATCTGGATTAACTTCTTTTGCTTTGTGCCACGTCCCTTCAAGACCTAATCGATTATGGCTCTCCACAATTTCCTATCCCCTGTGACTCTTAGCGATTTTTCTCTCTTCGCCCGTGTTTCGCCATGCTTCCGCAAAAGCTCGTCAGGTAAGTGGCTCGCTGCCTTCCCCTATTTCTCTTGCCCACAATATGCCTCATGAGCGTTAAGTTTTCCAAGCCCTCCTTCCTCATTATGTGCACAAGGATTTTCATCTGTCTTTTCTTAATTCTGAGTAGAAGTGTTCTTTCTGTTGGCATTTACTTTAAGACTGCCTTGTTGCTTACGCGCTTCGCCCTTAAAATTCTCAGTATCCTGAGAATATCGAGTATCTAGATTTCACCTCATCCGTGGGGAGATTATTCACTGATATATAAGAAGATGGATAAAACTTAGCAATCCAGCATACTTTTCTTTGTTACTAACGAAAAATTTATGTTTCTCAGCACTTTGCATAATCATTGGAATGTGTCTTTCTCTAATCCAATGCATTTTCGCATCACAATGGCGCATTTTCTATCATCTGTTAAAACGCTTCTCAGATATTTAAAATTCTTCGCTTGCTTGATGTATTTTTTATGTTCAATCCGTAAATTTAATCTTGTGCTTTTTCTCTGAGCTGATGACCAGACTTTCTGTCTTCTTGCGGTTGATAGTTAGTCCTTTTTTCTCATTTTCTTGTAGTTTACTTTTCGAGTCGGCCATCAACACAGTGTCATCTGCATATCTTATATTGTTACGATTACACCCACCGATAATAAATACTGGTTGGGTATCCAGTTCCTTTAGTTTAGCGTTGGTGTAGCGGTTGAATAAATGTGGGGAGAAGATGCCTCCTTGTCTTACACCTCTTTCTATTTTTGTATAGCTATTCATTTTTTTTTCTATCAGTATGCAAGCAGATTGCTCCCAGTATGGTAAATCAATGTACAATCCAATGATCAGTCAAAACATGTACCGTGTACCCTCTGAACTTGGGCGATCAGGGCTCTCCATAATTTCCTGTTCTTTGTAGATCTTAGTAAGTATTGATATCCCTGTTGTGCCAACCATTTACACAAGCTCATTCTTCTTCTATGTCGTTTTCCTTCAGCACATGGGTGATCATAGCTCTCCACAATCTCCTGTTCCTTGTAACTTTTAGTAAAATTTATCTTTTACCACCTCTTCTACTCTCTGTTCTTTCAAGCAAGCTTCTTCTTCTTCTTCTTCTTCTTCTTCTTCTTCTTCTTCTTCTTCTTCTTCTTCTTCTATATGTCGTGTCCCTTCAGGTCGCAGGTGATCAAGGCTCTCCACAAGTTCCTGCTCTTTGTAACTCTTAATTAATCTATTTACCATGTCCCTCAATCCCTGTTCTGCCAAATATTTACACACATTTGTCAGGTAAGTCATGCTCTGTTTTCTTCTGTATATACTTGTACATATTTCACTGATTTTGATTTTTTTTCAACTTTTAATTTTGTAACATATATCATAAATTTATTTTTAGTCTTGTAACATAATATTTCAAATTAAATATTTAGTTTTATTCAAATAATTATTTTCGGCGCATATCTACTATTTAGTGCAAATTTAGTGTAACAATGTCAATTGTTAATGCAATTGTTGTTTTCACTTATATATGTTAGAAATGATCATAATTGATTAATGAATTCACAGCCATCATAGTTGTATATATATATATATATATATATATATATATATATATATATATATATATATATATATGTGTGTGTGTGTGTGTGTGTTAGAAATGATCATAATACATTAATCAGTTCACAGCCATCATGGTATATATATATATATATATATATATATATATATATATATATATATATATATATATATATATATATATATGTAGTTTTATCTTTGGTTAAAACATTAGCGTTGCAGCCATGAGACTTGGATTCGCCTCTCAAAATGGTTGTCATAACACGCTGAAATACCAGTTCTGGTCGGATCACGGAAGTTAAGAAATTACTTGGATGGATAACCGCTTTAGAATACCATGCGCTGTAAGTTTGGACATGCGGGTGGTATAATGAATAGGGACATTTGAGCCAAAATACTCTTAGGAAAGGCATGAACCCGTCTCTCTTCTATCAGCTATGGGTTAGATAGTACTGCATAGTGGGCTCTTCAGCCTTGGTTAGCAATCAGTCTAGCATACGGACAACACTGAATGCGTATGTAATCTGTACGTAACCGTGGTGAAGCACATACTATATGCAGCTAATAAAATGATTCTAGTGTTTACAATAATCCCGACTGTTGTCAGTTTAGTAATAATAATTGTCAAGAGATGAGAACTTGATAATATCGATTTAGGGAGAGTTGGGAAGTGCCTGAAAACCATACCAAGGTTTGATCCTGTTGTTCATGATGACGGTCGTCTTGGAGTATAGAATCCAGAGGTTAGCAGTGAATATTTCAAAGACAGTAGGGAAGCGTAGTTCAGGTTA